GAGAAAATATTTGCAAAACATATATGAAAAGGGACCTGTATATATAATATGAATAACTCTTACGACTTAATAATAAAAAGACAATATTTTATATATACAGTAAATATATATATGGTTTGTGAGCATAATTCATTCTGGAAACATGCTTGTAATCCAAAGCAGTTGTATATCACAGCGAATTTCCGTGTAAGAAATATTGGAAACTCAGATAATTCATCCCACAACCCAAAAATATTCATATAAAAATGATTGCAATACTGTAATATAATACAAAATAACAAAATAAAATACAAAATATAAAGAAAAATAATTGGCACTTACCTTTGAAAACCTTTGTGGTTGGTATGAGGGAAACGAGAGGAGGAGGGTTATTGGATGACTTTCACTATCACTAATGGAATCACTGCTGTCTATTGGTTCAATGGAATCGTTTTCTTTTCATGCAGTTTTAATGAGGAACCTATCCAATGGCACTTGCTTTTGCCTCCTTTTGAGGATTTTACAGAAATGTGATATTGGATTGTTGTTAAGCAGATTCGTCGCTCGCACTGCTACAGCTTTATTGAGGTGGTGCTTTTCTACAAAGTTTGCACTGTTTGCCACATTTTACACATCTCCCTAATCTCATTTGAAGGGAAGGATTCATCCACCTTTTTCTCCTCCTCCTCTGCAGACATGACGCAGACGTAGACGTCTTTTTTTTTTTTTTAATGTTTATTCATTTTTGAAAGACAGAGACAGAGCACAAGCAGGGGAGGAGCAGAGAGAGGGGGGGACACAGAATCTGAAGCAGGCTCCAGGCTCTGAGCTGTCAGCACAGAGCCCGACACGGGGCTCGAACTCACAAGCCATGAGATCATGACCTGAGCTGAAGTCAGACGCTCAACTGACTGAGCCATCCAGGCGCCCCCAGATGTAGATGTCTTCTAAAATCTTGCAATTTTAGCAACTTGCAAACTTTGTTCTTACTTCTTGATGGTTTTCTTTTTTTTTTTTTCTTTTGCTTATTTTTTAGAGAGAGAGAGAGAGAGAGCGAGTGGGCAAGGGGCAGAGAGGGAGGGAGCCTGATGTGGGGCTCAAACTCACGAAAAGTGAGATCATGACCTGAGCCGAAGTCAGATGCTTAACTGACTGAGCCATGCAGGCACCCCACGATGATTTCCTTAACTTTCACTGTAATCATCTCCTCCTCCGCCCTGCCTGCCTTTTCAACCTTTTTGTGCATGGGGGCCATTGTATACACTGGCACCGATGTTGACTACCGGACAGTATCAATAAACTCTTGTCATACACTGTATTTAATGTAACTGGCAATAAGGCAGCAGAGGAAAGGGTCTATATCTGCAGGTAGCCTGACCTAGAATGAAGCAAATCATTCCTGAGCTTACTCTTATATGGAAAAGCAAAGGACTGTCCATAGGTGCTTTCAAGTGACAAAAAATACGCTAGTGCCAGGTGTGGGCACCTTCCAGTGTTCTGAAAAATCATTGATTTTTGCCAAAACCCGTGGCCTCTGAGACCAAGCATCCAAGTATGGGAGACGATCACCCACAATCTGCAGCGAGCAAAAGAGAACTGTTGACTCAATTATGATCATGTGACGCTTGGCGTCATGTACTATTTGTATTGCAAGACATCATTCATTTATCAAGTTAAAATTTATTAGAAATATTTGCTCATCTTATGGAACACTTGCAAAGCAAGTTACTTGAAATCCAAGGTTTTACTGTATTTTATTTCTTTGAAGTAACCTCTATGTCCAATGTGGGACCCAAACTCATGACTCCAGGATCAAGAGTCACATGTTCTACCAGCTGAGCCAGCCAGGTACCCCAACAACTCGGTATT